CAGCCTCAGCATGGCCGGAGAAGTGGTGCGTCGGTGCGCGCCTGGGATCCGAACCCGGGCCACCAGTAGCGGAGCGCACGCACTTAACTGCTAAGCCACGGGGCCGGCCCTAAAAAATTCTTAATGTAAAATATAATTTGTTAGATGGTGGGAAAAAAAGCAGGGAAGGAGGGAGGTATGTTGCAGTTTTAAATAGATAGGCAGAGAAGCGTCTCAGAGACGGTGGCATTGAGTAAAGACCTGAAGGAGGCCTGGGAGCAGATGTCTGGGAGAAGAGTACCCAGGCAAAGGGAGTGACATGTACAAAGACCCTGAGGCAGAATGTATGTGTGTTTATGAGAAATGGCAGAGTTCAGTGGATATAAGGGAAAGAGTAGTTGAGAGGAGGTCAGAGAGATAATGGGGAGGAGGGCAAGATGTAGGACTGGATAAGGCATTGGAAAGACTTCACACTGTTACACTCCTTGATGTTTTCTATGGAATACTTTTACATTGGGATATATAATTCTGAATTTCAGTTACTGTAGACCATCCAGGAATGTAGTACTTCCAATCAAATTTTAAGAATTTTATATTATATTTTACTTTGAAGAAGTGGTAATACATGTGTATGGTGATGGATGGTAATTAGTCTTTGAGTGGTGAACGTGATGTAATCTACACAGAAATCGAAATATAATGATGTACACCTGAAATTTATATAATGTTATAAACCAATGTTACCTCAATAATAAAAAAAAGACAGAGATGGAAAACCAAAAAAGAAGTAGTAATAACTCAAGACTACATTGAAGATGAGAGTTGGCTACCTATTTTGGTTCTTTTGCTTTAGTGTTTGTAATTAAAACTTAATTTTTCTTACCATAGGTAAATTAACATGATGGATTTCTCTAAGCTACCCAAAATACTCAATGAAGAAAAAGAAAGCACGTTTGGTTATGTGCATGGGGTCTCAGGACCTGGTAAGTAATATGTAGTAATCTCAATTATTAAATTAAATAATTAAATTACTAAAGATTCCTAACTTCAATTAATGTCTTTTCAAGGTATTTTAAGTAGAAATACACAAGTTTCTGTTCACCTACGTAAATTCTATCTGTCCTTAAAAATTTCATAGCTGCTAAAAGACTGAAGTAATAGTCCCATCGTAAGGGCTCCTCTAGCTAATTCATTATCTAAATTTCATCATTATTGAGGTATCACTAATTTGTGATAGCCTATTTATTATGTAAATGTATAATTAATGTTCAGAGTTTCACCTATATGTCTTAATTTTTTTGTTAAACCTAAGGTAAAAAAGCTGTAAAGTTTACAGCTTTTAGTATAATACCTTGCAGATAATAGGCGTTCATAAATATCTGTTAATGTATTTGAACTTTAATAACTGTTTTCAGAGCGTTTCTCAGCAATATCAGCCTTGGCTCCTTACATATATAAATCCTTCTGAATGGTTATTTCACATATCACATAACTAGCTACCTATGGAAAAGAAGTCTTATGACATGATAATGATAATGGAAAGGAGTTTTAAACTTTATGTTTATTCTGCCAAAATTTGGGGTACTGCATTTTAAATAATAAATCTCATTCTAGTATTCGTTTTGTTATTCCACACTCCCACTGCAAAGTGAGATCCACAGTTTCTGTAGGCAAAACTAGCTCATTGAGTTATAATCCTTAGTGCCATGGAAATTCATTTTTCCTTATGTCTTTTTATAAACCTCACGCTATAGTCTTTTTCGTGTTCTAATCACAGTGGAGGGCATGACCCTTTTTTGGTATTTAGGCAAATGAAGACTGTCAGTCACTGTGCCTCTTATTTCTTCCGAAGGAGCCTCTATGCTTAGAACTTGTGTTTGAGCTTGAACTCATTGGCAAATACATTTCACTGTTTTCAATCTCTTTTGCCATTCAGAAAAACGATTTTCCCCTTGATGATCATAAAGCTCTTTAGGAAAGACAGGCTACACACAAGAACTTTTAGGGAAAAGGCCAAAGAACATCATCAAAAGAGTTTAGGTAAAAATGTTTTTCTGAGTCTTGTAGTAAATTGTTCCTTGGAACCTATTTATAATTGTTAAGTACTTAACAAGGTAATAGAGAAATGGCATACTTTTTGGTTTGTGAAATATGATTTAAAATTTTAGTTATCTCTGGCATTTCAGTGCATCTTAATTATTCTTATATAGTAAGTATAGAGGTAAATATTTATGAAATTAATAAATCTTCATTGTTACAAGTTAATTAAATATTAATACTTTAATGGTTTCCACTTGAATATTACCTAATACATAGTTCTAATTAACTGTATCAGAAGGCTAAATATTAAAAATAGGTTTATTCCTGCATATATCTGAAAATGTGCAACCTTCCCTCCCTGCCAGAAAAGTAATTTTTGCTTCCTAGACAGTGTGGTCCAAAAAAGCGAGTACAAATTCTGGTTCAGTATTTATAAGAAATAGTATTCTTAATCAGGACTTCACCCAGTGGTGGTGACGAATTATAAACATCCTTGTGGTCTATGAAAAAATTTTATAGGTGTGTATGTGAGTTTTTCTAGGTAGAACTGTCACTGGTTTATCAAAAGGGTCGATGTCCCAGAATAGTTTTAAGAACCACTGGTATAAAGTGTTAGAAAATAAAGATATTGTTTTAGATAGTATTTCTCAAAGGAATGGTGACAACACAGCAAACTGATAATTGTGTGGCATTCTACCATGCCACTAGCTAAAGCTCTTGTTCCAATTTTAGCTTTAAAGTTTTTTATTGTTCCAAAACCCGTCATTCCATGTATTATAGCAACCTGAATTGATCAAAACTTGTCTCAAGGTCACTAGGTAAGAGTTTGCCATATAGAACTTCCAACTTTTTCAAAATAGTTTTCTTGTGTATTATGTGAATGAGTAAGCTTTAGCCTGACAAATTTATTTTGTTTACCTCTATATTATAGGCTAAAAATGCATCTTTTTTGTGAAACTATGTGTATGTTCCACAGTGAGTGTTTTATTTTTTTTATGAATATATGAGAGAGGTTTATTATTGGATTTATTGGACGTTTTAGTTATCTATAACTATTCACAGAGTCTTAAGTCATCACAGTACTCATTTCTTCTTTTCAGTGGTTACAGCCTGTGACATGGCAGGTGCAGCCATGTATGAGCTGGTGAGAGTGGGCCACAGCGAGTTGGTTGGAGAGATTATCCGATTGGAGGGTGACATGGCTACTATCCAGGTGTATGAAGAAACTTGTATCCTTTTTGGTTCAATTTCTTGCCACTTTCTACAAGTCAGAATTTAAGGGATTATGGCCAAGGTAAAAGCAGCAACTGCCAATGGTATCAGAAGCCTGAAATGTTGGTGATGTGAGAAACCTGATTTTTACAGTTTATTGAAAAAAGGTACTAGGAATTAGTGCTCTTATTTTAAGAAATTAGTATTATCTTCTAAACTTTCATTGCTCTTAATATTTCTACTGAAGTGTGTTTTACTATTATAAAGTTCACAAACTTTAGGGGGAACTAATCAGAATTTTTCTTCGGAGGGATAGATATTGTAGAAGAAAGCATAAACAGAATAATAACATTGATTTGTATGGTTAAAATTCTCCAATCATGGTTTGTGTTTAAGATAGTAAATCCATAAATAAATCAGTCACCACTCTGTCTTTATTGTAGTAAATCACACTGGGTGACGTGTTACATTATAGCTTTAGCACTAGGGCATCTTTATTATTTGTTTGGTTACCATAATTTTGGCATTTGAACATAGTAATTATTTTCAATTTTCTATGAAAAATAAAGAGGTAGAGAGTTAAGCTTTGTGAAGAGGAACCACGTTTTTTTTTGCTTCAATTGTATATTACTTAGATTGATTCTCAAGATCAGCATTAATTCTTTGGCTATTAAGGTTTATTTGGTACAACTTTTTTACCATACTAAAATATATGCTTACAGGTAACTGTTCTCTCTGTGTGAGAATTGGGGTGCTAATTCAAAGCATAATCATCTGGAAAATTTAAATAAATTAGAAGTCTTTATTGCTGTGAAATTGTGACTAATCAAAAGGATTTTTTTCTATTGTTAGCTTTATCTTTTGCTTTATCTTTTATTTAATCTTTTACATGGTTTGAAGATTTAAAATAAACAAATGAACATGTGTACAGTGACAGCCCTCCCCCCCTTTGTCCCTGTATCTGGCAAGTTTCAAAACACACATATGCATGCGTGTGGCCACTTTTATTGCTTCCTTTTATTGTATAGCCTTCTAGTTTGTTAATTGCATATATGAATGAATATAAATGTGTATTTTTATTTTTCTTCCCTTTTTTCTCGAAAGATAGCATATTATATGCACTGTTCTGCACCTTGCTTTTCCACTTAAAAATATACGTATTGTGGAAAATGGACAGATATGTGATAAATACAGTAAAATGTTAATGGAAGAATCTAACTGGTAGAGATAGGGGAGTTCACTGTCAACTTTGTTCTAGGTTTTAAAATTTTCGTAATCAAATATTGGATGAAAACATACTTTGGAGACCTTTCTAGAGCAATTCATAGAAGCCTCTATTCTTTTTTTACAACTACATAGCAGTCCATCATATGAATTACCATAATTTATTAATCAGTCTCTTGATAGAAATTTTGGTTGTTTCTAGTCTTTTACAAACAGTGTTACAGTGTAACTATAGTGTGAATTCACAGAAGTTGGATTCTTGGGTTAAGGTTTGTGCCTTTTAAATTTTGGATAGATATTGCTGAGTTGCTGTCAATAGAAGTTGTACTGATTTTACTCCTATCAACAAGTATGTGAGAGTGAGGCAGATTCAGTGTGCTTATTTGCAGGTTTTATTCTTATCTTTTCAAAACCACTTCTTAATTCGTAAGATTTTAAGTTTTTGTCCAGGTACTAATATCCTTTTTAGGGGACTGCTATTCCTCAGTGGTATAGTTGAAACAATATATTAAGGAGAGGCTTTTGCTTCTATTTTTAGCTCTGTGGTTCCCAAACTGTGAACCAAGGCACTCTGGGCAGCTGCAGCAAACTCATGTGGTAGCCTAGGATATTTTAAATTTTTGAGGTTAACACGGGAATATTAGACAGCTTGTCAGACACCACGTGAACTAGTAGCTTAAGATAATAAACTGTTTCTTTTCAGCTGCGCTATATTTTTGTCCATGATGTCATATCTTTGCAAAGCTGAGTTTTGGCAATTGCTAAGCTAAAAAGCAAGTATCATATGAAAATGAATATGGAACAGGTATTCAATCTGAGTCCAATGTTTGAAAATTGTATGGTGCCCAACAGGCACATACATCCCATTTGTAAGAATTGAGGTTATTTAAGAATGAAATTAAAATATTTTTTTCTTTCAAAGACCTACTCAGTTGTTGGGACATATGTATTTATTAAGTTGTTTGGACATAACTATTTAATAAATGGAATTATTAGATATATCTTTTGTCATAGCTCACTGTGAAAAAGTTACTAAAATGTGAAGGATGCTGTGAACTGAGAGAGTTTGAGAATCTATTTTAGCTCCTTAAGTGTCATTTCCCTGTTAAACTGTGCTATTTCCTTATTATAGTATCTCTAAACTTTCATAGTGATTTTTCCTCAACTACTGTTTCTAGCTGGTGTGTCTGTTGGAGATCCTGTACTCCGCACTGGTAAACCCCTCTCGGTAGAGCTTGGTCCTGGCATTATGGGAGCCATTTTTGATGGTATTCAAAGACCTTTGTCAGATATCAGCAGTCAGACCCAAAGTATCTACATTCCCAGAGGAGTAAATGTGTCTGCTCTTAGCAGAGATGTCAAATGGGATTTTACACCTTGCAAAAACCTACGGGTATGTCTTTGTAACCAAGATTTCTAAAATTGGTAAAAGAATGTGAAATGGATGTTTAGTGAACTATTTTGTACTCTTAGTCCAAATAAAAATAGACCACAGAAGCATAATTTAAATTTTTCTTTAAATCCACTAGAAGGATGGTGGAACTACTATGCTTTATTGATAAGTGAGGCAAATGATTTAAATAATAGCAGCAAGAGTGAGTCTATTTGATGTTTATTTCAACATTAAACAGCAAATGCATTTGTTCTCTAGGTTGGTAGTCATATCACTGGTGGAGATATTTATGGAATTGTCAATGAGAATTCGCTCATCAAACACAAAATTATGTTACCCCCACGAAACAGAGGAACTGTAACTTACATTGCTCCACCTGGAAATTACGATACCTCTGTAAGTATCATGTAAACTTTATCTCATAGATAAAGTGAGATATCTCGCAAGTGACTCTACTTATATATTATATTTGCCCAGTTTTAGTGCCCTAAATAGTTATGTAATTGATATTTAATGTGTAGGTTTTAAGTAACTCCCATAATTATTTAAGATTTTTTTTAAGTTGGGTTTGGGAATACAAAAAGCAGACATATTGTTTCTCTTTTAAGAGAGAGAGAGATATCTAGTATAACATTTTCCTACCTTCTTATCTTATGCTACAGTATTTATAATTTTATAATTTTATTTATTTATTTATTTTTCCCCCAAAGCCCCAGTAGATAGTTGTATGTCATAGTTGCACATCCTTCTAGTTGCTGTATGTGGGACGCGGCCTCAGTGTGGCCGGAGAAGCAGTGCGTCGGTGCACACCCAGGATCCGAACCTGGGCCGGCAGCATTGGAGTGCACGCACTTAACCGCTAAGCCACGGAGCCGGCTCTATGCTACAGTATTTAAAGCCCTGATTCTTTAGGCATAGAATACTCTTTGATTTTAATTATCAATCTGTATTCACATAATTAATGTGGATTAATTATGGCTTCTTACTTTGGGTGAGCCATTCAAAACTTAGTCCTTTAATGTTACTGATAATCATATCTTATAGTAGACCCATAATGGTCTTTTTGGGTTTGAAGATAACTTTAATAAGAGAAGACTATTGTAACATGTAATTTTTTCCCAATAAAATGTGATAAAAGATAATTTTCTAATCATTTCACAAGAGTAGTCTGTGCTCTACAACATATAGAGAACAAGGGAGTTAAGATTAGGATTCTGGGCAATCAGCTAGCTTTCCTCACTAGCTTAGAGACTCACTCACTCCTACATGGAAGAACCACGCTGAAGTAAACAACTCAGATTCATGTATCAACAGAGTTACAGATTTCTATAGATCTATGGACTTGGGGGTTAAAGTTAAAATACTTAACTTTATTAAATATTTTAGGGTTCTTAATAGATAAGTATTTTTCATTAGAGCAGCATAAGAACATTATAATAAAGTAAACAAAACAAAGTAGGGAAAGTAAATTATGAAAGCTTTCGTTTCTCCTTTTCCCCAGTGCCATGAGTATCTTCTGTATCCTTCAAGACTTCTCCCTGTGCATATCCATATAATTTAACTATTTCTCTATTGCTTGAGATACCTCTTTCTCAAAAACTCCCAAATCTTTTTTATCATTAGAACAGTAATAAATGCACCTGGTTCAAAAATTTAGAACTGTATTTACAATAGAGATTTACAATAAAAAGTATAAATCTCCCTCCCTACTTCCATGCACCGCCTCTCTACCCCCAAGAGGAATCTGGGGTTACTTTGATTTAGAGGAAGAAACGTTCATAAATTTGACTGTACTTAAAATCCTGCCGTATTTTTATAGGATGTTGTCTTGGAGCTTGAATTTGAAGGTGTAAAGGAGAAGTTCAGTATGGTCCAAGTATGGCCCGTACGTCAGGTTCGGCCTGTCACTGAGAAGCTGCCAGCTAATCATCCTTTGTTGACTGGCCAGAGAGTCCTTGATGCCCTTTTTCCGTAAGTTTGAGCTGTGTCCCATGGTTTCCCTTCAGAGTTATTATATGTGCTTATTGTTTCACTTCTTTATAAGTAAAAGTTTTATGTGCTAATCCTATAATAAATTTTATCTAGAGAAATAATAGTGAATTAGTTAAATTTATTTATGTATCGCTAATTCTTATTATAGAGTGAAACCATTGAAGATTTTTTTCACAGTTGCAAAAGGGAAGCATTATTTCTAAAACTTTCCAGAAGAAAATCTGTGCCAAAACAATAACTATCTTTCTTAAGTTATCCTAGAATTAGTAGATTGGTGTTAATATAAATTGATGATTTCTAAAATCAGCTGGGCTCTCTATGCTGTGCAGCGATCTTTCTTAACTTGTAGTCTGCTCTTCGCCATTTTCTTCATGGACTGCTTAAAAACCTCTTTTCTCTTTATATCTCAGGCTTGACTATACCCTGCTTTACTTTCAACAAATAACTTCATCATTTAATTCACAGAAGAGACTGAAGCGATGATAGAGTAACACCTTCAACCTCTGATCACCAACCTATATCATACCATTTACCCTTCAACCTCTCACCCTTCAGACCTACTCTCTGAGTTCTTCTCACTATTACTCTCTCCTAAGATCTTCAGTCCTTTGACTCTCGTCAGTCAGCACCTCCTGCTTCCATATCCTTCACTGTCCAGCTTAAAGTTCACAGTCTATCACTTCTACGAACGTTTGTCAGTATACTAAATTTTTCTGTTCCTTTGTCTTCTGTCACACCCACCCAGCAAAATTCCAACTATGAATCAATCAGTCCAGCCATCTCCTTCTCCCAAGTCTACGCACAGACTGCTGAGAAAATAAAATAATCAGTGCAAGCTGGTATCTCACTACTGTGTAGCAATCCTTCTGCATTTCCCTAATCATCATTCTCCTGTTCTCCTCTGCAGCTATTTCAGACCTCTCCACTTGCCTCGATCTTCAACTCCACTCTTCCTTCTTCTTCTTTCTCAACAAATGATCCGTTAGATCCTTCACAGAGAAATTAGAGGCCATCAAATTTGAAACTCCTTCAGTTAATGTACATTCCCATTCATCTCTTCTTCCTCTCCTCTTTCTGGAGCTTATCCCACCTAATGCCTCCTCAAAGACCTCCCTCTGTATGTTATCTTCCTTTATCTCCCATCTAATGAGAAAAAGATTCTAACCTCTACCCTTTTCCCCTGTCTACCTTCCACTGCTTTTCTCTTCCTCTTCACAGCCAAACCTCTTGAAAAATAAATTAGTTGTCTCCACTTTTCCCACTCTAATTCACTGTACCACCCTGCCCTTGGCTCCATCACTCAATTGAAACTACTCTCACTAACATCATCAGTCACTCCCATGCTGATAATTCAGTAAATAAGTTTTAGTATTTTCTAAATTCCTACAACTTTGGATATTGCTTTCTGCTCCTTCCTCTTTGAAACACCGTCTTTCTTTGTTCTTTCTTTTAGCTTCTGTCCACAAGTTCTTATTCTCCATTGCAGGTTCTTCCTCCCTTAATTTTGATATTTCTTAGAGTTTTTCCCCTCTTCTGGGGCCTCCTCTCTCCTCATTATATATCTTACCCTCTGTGGATAGCTTTAGCCACTCTCATGACTTAAATATTCATCTATATTTGATGACTCCTAAATCTGTATCTTCATCCCAGATCTCCTCTGAATTCTAGACTCAGATATCAACTTCTGATTATACCTCTCCTTTTGAATGTGTTACAGGTGCCTCAAAGTTGGTATGTTCAAAACTAAAATCATCATCTTAATCACCACTCCCTTCCTTGAAACTTCCTTATCTTTCTTTGTTGCCTCTCTCAACAAATGTCATTATCATCCATCCAGTGAATGCCTAATCTAAAATCTGTGACTTCTGTCAAGGACCATTCTTACCCTCCTACATCTAATTATTGAACAAGCGCTTTTATTCTATTCCCTAAATGTTTTTATCTACATCTTTTATCCCTTCTCCATGACCGTAATTAAGGATTGTACCCTAATTGCTATAATAATCACTTTTAATCAGACTTCCTGTCCTCAGTCTTGCCTTTCTAAATGGTTGCCCGTATTGCCTAGTGATCCATCTAAAACACATATCTGATCCTGCACTGTTTTGCTTGAAACCCATAAGTGCTCTTTTTTGCCTTTAAAACAAATACATACTCTTTTACTCCTTAGAAAGCCACCAATGATCTGTCTGTTGCTCACCGTCCGGTATTGTCTCAGCCACTTGACTGCCTGACTACTTCCTTATGTACCATCTTCTGGGCATACTGAAGGACTTTTAATTCCTCAAGCAATGCTCCTTCTTGCCCCTGGACCTTTGGCATGTGTTCCCTCTGCTTGGAATGTCATTTCCCTTTGTCTGGTTAATTTCTATTTCCTTTTGGGTTTTAGCTTCTTTCAGGAAGAATTTCCTAACTCCACTTCAATCTAGTTATCAGACTTTGCACCCGCACTGTGTACTCCCATAACACCTTGGATGTTTTCTGTGATAGCACTTTTCACACTGGATTGCTGAACTTCCAAACTGGGG